CAACAACCGCTACGGCGTCGAATGGCTCATGCTTCTCGGCGCCGCCCTCTGCGGCATCTCCGCCGGCGTCTTCTGGATGGCCGAGGCCGCCATCGCCATCGCCTACCCGGAGCCCTGGAACCGCGGTAAAGCGCTGGGCTACTGGCTCACCTACCGCCTCTGCGGCCAGATCCTCGGCGGTGCCATCAACCTCGGCCTCAACGCGGACAACGACCAGGCCGGAAAAGTCTCGTACACGGTGTTTATCATCTTCATTGCGATCCAGGCTGCCGGCCCGTTTGTCGGGTTCTTTTTGAACAAGCCGGAGCAGGTGGAGAGACAGGATGGCAAGAAGGTTAGCTTGGCGATTTTGGAGAATCCGTGGTATGAGATCAAGGCTACGACGAGGAACTTGTTGAAGCCCAAGTTCCTTTTGATTGTGCTTTGGATTGGGCAGGCTGTGTTTGCGGAGGCTGTGTTTTTCACGTATCTTGCTTGTAAGTCTTTCCAAAAGCTTTCCTCTGGGAGACTTGATGCTAATATTGTACTGCAGCATGGTTCTCTGTTCGATCTCGAGCTCTCGGATCCTTCCTTTCCGGCATTGTGGCCGTGATTTCCGGCAATCTTCTCGGAGTAAGTAGCTCCCGCAAGCTCGTAGCTAGAACCAAGAGACAGTCACTGACGATGCTGGCAGCACTGGCTTGATCGCGCCAAGGTGTCACTCAAGCTCCGCACGAGATCGACCTTCTGGACTCTCGTCGTCACTCAGGGCGCGTGGTGGCTCTGGGCAACCATCCTCGCGACACGGTTCCGCCAGACCCGCCCGGTCCACGACTGGGCCAGCCCTGGCTTCGGAGCCGCCTTTGCAGTCTACATCTTCCTCACGATCGGATTCCAGATCAACTATCTCTTCCTGTACGTTGACTTCCTGATGGCTGGCTACCGCCATGCTTGCCAAACGTGCGAACACCGACTAACATGACAAAAACAGGTACTTCATCGTCACAAACCTGGCCGAAGGCGAAGAGGAAGTCATCCGCTACGCCGCCCTGCTCCGCGGAGTCGAGTCGGCATGGCAGGCCGTCAGCTACGGCCTCACATCAATCACCCTGTTTGGCGAGGTCGGCGCCATCTACCTCAACTTTGCGCTGTGGGCCGTGGCCATCGGACCCGCGTGGCTGGTCCTGAGACACTTTGGCTCCGGGCTCTCGGCGCACGTGGAGGAGGTGCGCGAGGTGAGCGGTGTGGTGTCTAGCGAGGATGGCGAATCGGACGTGAAGCACTAGACAGTAGACGGGTGGGATAGGATGCGAGTCAGTGTTGGTGATACCCGAGTTGCTGGGACGCGGTGCCGGCTGGGGCAGACACCTTCTGTCAGCTTGATGCCGATCGTCGAGACTGGGGTTGCGATATGACTATAGAGATTAATGATTCCCTGTTTCTCCGCGCTAGATAATGTCTGTATGAACCTTAATTAAATGAGTTTTCCGAACATCTGTGTCATGTGTTGATGTACTGCCAATGAGGTGATCACCAAGTCGAAATCATCGTGAGATGGACCGATGCTCAGGTCAATGGACGAATAAAAGCTTCAGAGAGACAGTCAATTTCGCGCTTCGAATTGCCCCTCAAAGAGTTGCCTGCACTGCTGCCATATTGCGGATATTAACCATCCGCCAATCTGTCGCGCGGTAATCTGCAACTCTCTGGTTGGGCCATGTCATCGGGGCTAACATGACGTGATAGCCTCACGTCGGGAACCTTCAACCCCACGACCTGCGGTTGCCGGCGGGAGCCGCTGTATCTTTTTTTCACCTAAGGCATCTTGGCTTGCGAATTACAGCTTAACCGCCTTTTGCAGCCTAAATAGCTGAATGCTTTACATGGAGCTTTTCAGGAGCTATCATTCGAAGGTCCAGGCGAGCTATCGAACAGGAGCTTCCCTGGAAACAATCAGACAGGCGGATTACAGGGGTCGTCGGCATTGGCGTGGGGTCCGCCATGGCCCGTTTGTGCGTCGTCGTGCGTCTTGCGCCACCGAGCCGTCCGGTGGCATCATCGCCCCGGCTCCACGGTGCCGGACCCACGCCGAGTATCGGGAGGGGCAATTTGGGGTAAACTTCGACATGATCTGTGTAAGACCATCGCCGGGGGGTGTGTCTCCAAAGGGACGTCACGTCGTTCGACGCGAACCCCTCCATGTTACCCCGCGGTGGCCGTGGTTTCGCTAAAGGATTGTAGTAATAGTCTGGAAAAAGTTTTGTTGTATTTTGTTGTCGCAAAAAGCCAGAAACTTCATCCCTTTTGGAACCTTTCTCAGGAGCACGATTGATTCTCGCGAACTTAGAGACTCCAAGTACGCCAGACGCAAGATACTCGAAGAAAACATGGCCGACACGACGGGAACCGCAAAGCCGAAGAAGAGCCTCGTGCTCAATGCCTTCGTTGAGATGTGTATGGCAGCCAGGTCTCGCCGCAGAATCTCGTATTGAAGCTGACAGTTCCTATGTAGGCAGTGGACATCAGTCACCCGGACTCTGGAGACACCCCGAAGACGAGTCGTGGCGCTTCAACGAGATCAGCCACTGGGTTGAGCTGGCTAAGCTTCTCGAGGAGGCCAAGTTCCACGGCGTTTTCATCGCTGATGTTCTTGGTGAGTTTGTCGTTCAGGAGATCGAACTCGGAAGATCAGCTAACACGAAGTAGGCGGCTACGATGTCTATTCGCAGTCCCTCGACCCCGCAAAGGTTTCCGGAGCCCAATGGCCCGTCAATGAGCCTTTGGCCCCCATAGCTGCCATGGCTGCGGTGACGAAGAACATTGGCTTCGGCGTGACGGTATCGACAACATATGAGCAGCCGTACCACCTCGCCAGGCGTTTGTCGACCCTTGACCACCTCACGGGCGGTCGGTAAGTGGCCCAAGTACCGGTCGCAAAGCTCTCCTGCTAATAATCTCATAGTCTAGGTTGGAATGTCAGTCTCCACGCGGAATCTCTTGAAGAAGCGCATACTGACCAGCACAGATCGTGACAAGCTACTTGGATTCCGCAGCAAAGAACATGGGTCTCACCCAGCAGCCCCAGGTAAGATAACACGGAGCCATCTCACGATTCAGGCACTGCTAATAGAAGCAGCACGACGACCGATACGCGCAGGCCGAGGAGTACATCAAAGTAATGTACAAACTCTTCGAGTCCTCATGGAGAGATGACGCCGTCAAGCTCGACCGCAAGTCAGGCATCTACACCCAACCCGACCTCGTCCGCAAAATCGACCACAACGGGCGCTTCTTCAACGTTCCTGGCCCGCACATCGTCCAACCCAGCCCGCAACGCACCCCTCTCCTCCTGCAAGCCGGAACCTCCAAGGCCGGCAAACAATTCGCGGCGCAGCACGCCGAAGCCATCTTCGTCTCGGCGCACGCGCCCGCCGTGTGCGCAAAGAACATTGCCGAGATCCGGGAGCTCGCGCGGACGCAGTACGGCCGCGACGGCAAGGACATCAAGGTACTCGCGCTCGTGACGCCTATCCTGGGCGCTACGGAGGAGGAGGCGCAGGCGAAGCTGGCTGATTACCGCAAGTACGCCTCGCACGAGGGCGCGCTGGCGCTGTTTGGTGGCTGGACGGGTATCGATTTGAGCAAGTATGGTGACGAGGAGGAGCTGAGGCAGGTGGAGAGCAATGCTGTCAAGTCGACTGTTGAAGGGTACGCGCGGTTCTCGCCGGGTACGTCGAAGTGGACTAAGCATACTATTGCCGAGCACGTCAGCATTGGTGGCAACGGGCCCATCTTTGTCGGTACGGCTTCGCAGGTTGCTGATGGGCTGGAGACGTGGATTGAGGAGGCGGATGTTGATGGATTCAACTTTGTAAGTGCCCAAACCGTTGTGTTGGACTTTATTCCTTGGCTTTATTGGCGGAAGATGATGATGCTGACTGTTGATGCTAGGCGTACGCTCTGTTCCCCCAGTCCTTCAAGGACATTATCGATCTTCTTCTGCCTGAGCTGCGTCGTCGCGGTCTCTTCTGGGACGACTACGCGGTTCCCGGTGGAACGTACAGAGAGAACTTTTACCGCAAGCAGGGCCAGTCGGGACCGCTGGACGAGCACGTCGCGGCGTCATACAGGTGGAAGGCGGGAGTTTCGGCTGAAGAGGCGAAGATTCCGGAATAAATGGTCAGGATACGTCGTGATTTAGATGCATGTACCTAGGCTTTGCCGAAACGCATCGAGGATGAGTAAAAAATGTAAAAAGAAATAAAATGAAGCTATTCCCAACTTTCCAGACCTTGCAATTGACGGGTCTCCTTCCTCTTTGAGTCTTGAAGATGCGAGAGGGTGAGAAGGGCAATTCCTCGTTCCAGACATACCTTACGTAAGATAAGTACGTAGCATACCATGGAGCCAGATCGACCGGGAAGAAGTGGATCTGCCTCGACGAATGAGACGACGCAGCGTACTCTTAAGGCCGAGATTCGTCCGGCCGAGCTGTGCCGAAGGTTGAGCTCGCATCTACGGAAGTTTGAAAAACGACTCCAGTTTATTTTTGTCTGGCATCTCGGGAACCGCCTTGACGGTGGGGGCTCTATGCCATCTGGGTACTCGAAGCTTAGGAACATGAATTTCAAGATATCTATGAAAGACCACGAGAAAATGCAGAAATTGCGCGCATCAACAGACAATACAAAAAATAGTGGAAAATCTCCTGACTGAACCTCAGCCCAGATTTGCTTGGAAAACAGCGGAATTCACGAGACTTGATTGGTCAATGGCTGTTGACTCTCGGATCAGACCGAGAGGATGCGTGTTCAGGTACCTGAAGTTGAGCCCTATAGGCTGCCGACAGCAGACTACCTACTCAGGCACATTGCAAGCCTTAGACAGTAGCGAGAGAGACAAGAATGTTTCTCGCTCTAGCGGCGGGCATGCGGCTGCGTCCTTGAGGATGTTACCGACTGTTGCCGAGCCGCAAACCATCATTCAACCAATCATACTCTCCAATCTGATGACATAATCCTTCAAGGGGCATTCTCTACCTCTAAGAAAGCTTGGAGCTATCTTGGAGCTCCCTGGTCTCCAAGGGTTGGTGCTGCGTCATTCCCCACCGAGGGGCTCAAGGAGTGACCTGATCTTTTTCCCATACCTTGACTCTTGACTCTTGGGCTTTTCTCCTGAGTCCAGAACTGAATGGGGACGCGCTTCTTCCACCGGAGCCAAACAGAACTGACAGTATAAAGTCTCGCCGGCGCCCACTTTCTGCCCCAGAACAACCCCGTTCTCCGTACCTTCCTCTCCTTGTTGTCGTCGGCCAGGCTTCGAACATACATCCTCTCCTCTCCCCTCCTTTCCACGGGCATCGACCCTCTGTGAAACTCTCCACTCCTCACTCTCATTTGCGTGATCACATCTCTCGACCATGGCGTCTCCCATCGCTTCCGCCGCCCTGCGGGCTCGCGTCAAGCGTCCCTCGATGCTCAAGAAGCTCACCAAGCCCCAGGATCTCCTGCAGCACTTCCCCAATGGCGCCTACATCGGCTGGTCCGGCTTCACCGGCGTTGGATACCCCAAGAAAATGCCCACCTACTTGGCGGATCACGTTGAGCAGAACTCGTAAGACATTCCAGGCTTGCTCGTAGATTTGTCCGCCGGAAGCTAATTCGTACTGTTCCCGTCGACTAGTCTCCAGGGCCAGCTCAAGTACAGCCTGTTTGTCGGTGCCTCCTCTGGCGCTGAGACCGAGAACCGTTGGGCCAGCTTGGACATGATCAATCGTCGAAGTCCCCATCAGGTCGGCAAGGCCATCTCCAAGGGCATCAACGAGGGCAGAATCCACTTCTTCGATAAGCATCTGTCGCAGTTCCCCGTCGATCTCGTATACGGGTTCTACACCAAGGACCGCCCAAACAAGAACCTTGATGTCGTCGTAGTCGAGGCCACCGAGATCAAGGAGGACGGCAGCATTGTCCCCGGCGCCTCGATCGGTGCCACGCCGGAGCTTGTGCAGATGGCGGACAAGATCATCATCGAAGTCAACACCTCGCTGCCCAACTTTGACGGTCTCCACGACATCACCATGACCGACGTGCCCCCGCGCCGCAAGCCCTACCTCATCACCAGCGTCGAGGACCGCATCGGAACAAACTCCATCCCCATTGACCCCGAGAAGGTTGTCGGCATCATCGAGTCCGACTACCCCGACCAGACCGGCCCCAACACTCCCGAGGACGACGGTTCCAGGGCCATCGCCAGACACCTGATCGAGTACTTCGAGCACGAAGTCAAGCACGGCCGCCTGCCCAAGAACCTCCTGCCCCTGCAGTCCGGTATCGGCAACATCGCCAACGCCGTCGTCGGCGGTCTCAAGGACAGCAATTTCTGGAACCTCAAGGTCTGGACCGAGGTCATCCAGGATACCTTCCTTGACCTCTTTGACACGGGCCACCTCGATTTCGCGACTGCCACCTCGGTCCGCTTCTCGCCCGAGGGCTTCAAGCGCTTCTACGACAACTGGGAAAACTACCACGACAAGCTCCTCCTCCGCAGCCAGCAGGTCTCCAACTCACCCGAGATCATCCGCCGCCTGGGCGTCATCGCCATGAACACGCCCGTCGAGGTGGACATCTACGCGCACGCCAACAGCACGTGCGTCATGGGCTCTCGCATGCTCAACGGTCTCGGTGGCAGCGCCGACTTCCTACGCAACGCAAAGTACAGCATCGTCCACACCCCCTCGACGCGCCCTTCCAAGACGGACCCCCACGGCGTCAGCTGTATCGTCCCCATGTGCACGCACATTGATCAGACGGAGCACGATCTGGACGTCATTGTCACCGAGCAAGGTCTCGCTGATGTTCGTGGCCTGAGTCCCCGCGAGCGTGCGCGCGTCATCATCAAGAAGTGCGCCCACCCGGTGTACCAGCCCATCCTCCTGGACTACTTTGAGAAGGCCGAGTTTGAGTGCCTGCGCAAGGGCATGGGCCACGAGCCTCACCTCCTCTTCAACTCGTTTGATCTCCACAGGGCCCTGGCTGAGGAAGGCAGCATGCAGAAGGTCAAGAGCTTCAAATGAACAGGCCAGCATCGCCCGACGCCACAGTCAAGGATAAGAGCTTCAAAACAAACAGGAGCTAAAAACGTTAAGAGCTAGGCACCTAAAGGCATTGTTGGATTTTGCTTGCATTGGTGTATTGGTGCATTTTGCAGGGCGGGCCTGCGATCTCGGAGCATTGGTAGAATACCTAGTCCCTTTTTCTTTTTTGTTGATAGAAAAATGATACCTCGCTGGATAATGGAGCATTTACATTACATGCCAAGCATTGGCAATGGATCCCGCTTGCTGTCAAAAGTGAAGATCAATCTCTCAGCCTCCGATACCACGCAGCGCCGGCCCCCGGAGTTACCACTCGGTGACACAACCTCGGCCGCCCGACCCCCGACCCGGAACCCCGATAGTCTCGGCCCGTACCAACTTCGACTCAAAGCTCAAACCTCCAAACCTTGAACCCCCGGCCCCTTCATCTCCGACTACGCTCAACAACCTCCTCCAACGCATCAACCGCCTCCCCAGGCCCATCACCATGCCCGCCAAAATCCACGCTCACCCTCTCGGCCGCACTCCGGAACTTTTCGTCGTCAATGACTCGCTCCACCGCGCCTCTCAACATATTTTCACTTGGCGCGTCGGTCGCGAGATCGATCCCGGCGCCGCTCCACGCCACCCGCGAACTCACGTCGGCCTTATCCTCGCTCCGGCCCGCGCAGACTAACGGCACGCCGAAGCGCAGCGCCGCAAGAACGCCGTTGTAACCTGCGTTGGTAACCATTACGCCTACATGCGGGAGGAGGCGGGCGTGGGGGATGAAGTTGGCTACGCGGGCGTTTGACGGGATAGAGGCTGCTGGGAGGGCGGTCTCTGCGTTCGGGGTTGTGGCGATGACGAGGAGGTCTGTTCGATGGGCGAGGGCGGCGAGGGTCGGGGTGATGAGGTTTGCGGCGTTGGTTGCGTAGGTGCCTTGTGTTACGTGGATTACCTTTTCCCGCGGGTGCGCGAGCATCTCATCCCACCATTTCGGTAGAGGATCGAGCTCGTCTTCGTTGAAGAGCGGGAGGAGCGGTCCGACGAATTTCACAGCTGGTTGGAGGTTCTTGCGAGGGAATTCAAAGGCTGATGTCGTGGGCATGATGTGTAACACATCCGACCTCGTAGAATCGTAGAACCCCGACGCCGGCAAGGGAGGAAGACCGAGCTCTTCCCGATGGGTGTTGAGCGCGGCCGTGAGTTTCGGGTAGAGAAGCCAGCTCGCGGCCGTGTGCGCAAGGGCGTTGAGCCACCGGCCGAAGAAGGTCGTCGGGGGCGCCCAGCCGGTACCCCACGGCGGGACCTCCGGGTCGAGAGTGACGAGCGGGTTAATCCCCAGCGTCGCGTACGGTAAGCCCGTGAGATCCCGGAGGCAATGCGCACCGTAGGCGCAGAGGTCTACGAGAAGAATATCCGGCTTGAAGGCCGGCGTTCCGTTGGAGCCGTCGAGAACGGCGCGGTAAGCTGCGACTTGGTCAGGAACCCTGTCGAGAAACAGCTTGCGGAGGGTGGAGACGACGGCGGCTAGGCCCGAGGTCTCTGGGTCCGGCACGAGGGCGATCTCGTCGTGCGCGGCGAGCGGGGGCGGGGAGGGGATGAAGAGTGCGCCGGTTTGTGATATCATGTGGGCGTGAGAAGCGGATGTGAGCCAGGCTACGGTATGGCCTCTGCGGGTGAGGGCGAGGGCGATGGGTTGCATTGGGTGGATGTGGCCTGCAAACGGCATCGTTGCGATGAGGACCTTCATCTTAGTTTGAGTTGCCGGAAGTAATCCGGGGAGAGTGTGTGCTCCGTGCGGGTACTATCGTTGGTTGAAGGCGTCCTAGATGGAGTCCTAGATGGAAATAGTGATGACTCTGTAACTATTTAGGTAGTCTCGTAGCATTGTCCACTAGGTGCTCTGAAGTGAGTTGTGATGATGTGAGAGTGATGCCCCTCTCCGCCGCACTACATAATCTCACCGAAGTGCGGATGCCCCGGTCGGCTAGTGTAGGATCGCACGTCAATTAAGGTTAAATGAGACGCTGCGATGGACGTCTCTTACCATCTCAGCATGGCAATTCAAACGAAACATCTTCTCCAAAAGAGTTCAATTGAGATGAAATATCTGTCTAACTGTAGTTGAGTCTCGTAGTCTTGGAAATTCAAATTATCCTGATATCCATGCTTCTGTCACCGAAGTGCCCGAAGTTCACTGCTCCGACCGAAGTTATGCGGGTTTTGGGTGAGATTTCACGCGGATCTTGAGCGTGAGGAAACACCGTGTTGACTCTCGCTGCTTGAGAGTACTGTCAAAGCCAGTAAAACATCGAATCTTCGAGGCTGGGAGAAAAGTGACAAAGTTCAACGTTTATGTTCCATCGGCAACTGTACCTCTGTCCCAAACTTTCTCCAAAGGCTATCCATGCCTTATAATTGCTCTCAAGTCCGCGGGCGCGAAGGACCATTGTCTCCCATATTCCAAATCGTAAGTAACCACCCTAGGTACTCAACGAATTCATCTCTCTACACACTCAGTTCGTGTCAAAAGAACTCGGCAACATACAGCCGTCATGATCACTGCAAGATATGGACCCACCACCATCTCAACCAATTGTGTAGATCGAGAATGTCACCAGTCCTTTTACCAAAATGGTTTTACCGTCTTCTCCAAGCTTTACTCAACCGCTGGCACATGCATTTATGCCAAAAGGCCGTGCCGCAATTCCTAGCCACCATGATCGTTATCAAATGTACCTCTTTTTGTCCCGAAATCGAATCATGCTTGTAGGATCGTGCAGTTGGCTGCTGACAGGGTAAAGAGTCCGCTATAGCCGATCGGCGTTAGCTGCCTAGAACGACGTGCCCTGGTCATAGAAAGCCCGGAAGGATTCAACATTTCAGGACAGATCTTACCATCCATCGACAACATCACCAGTCCGAGCACAACAGAATCGTGGCCTTTCGTAAAAAGAAATGGCATATAGTGCGGTACTTCCTGGTGCCATAATCTCACAATTCTGGAATCTTGTCCGAACCATATTTGCAGGCCAGATGCAAAGCCGATGATTAATTAAATATATCAGTCCGTCGCCAGCTATCGAAAACCAAAAAAATGCGACCGTTAATTCGCGGTATACTCTTCTTCTCCCTCCTCGTACTCGCCGCTGCCAAATGCCCAACATACATCGACACCGTAGTCCCCTCCGGGCAAACCCGACGCTATGGCAATCGCGAGCCCGGCGATCCCTTGCTGGCAACCATGCAAGACGTCCACAAAACCCTCTCAAACTGCGACTCCTTAAAGAGCCTTAAGCTCCGCGTCACCAGCCTAGGGTGCTCTGAACATCCTGACCGCTGGAACTTCCCACTCGACCTAGCCTCCGGGTCCACATACCTCTCAGAGCTAGAGTCGCTGGATCTGGAAGGGTACCATTTCGGCGATCGGCTATGGGACGAGGTCTTGGAGCCGCCATTCCGGACGGGTTCCAAGTTTTGGGATAGGATGGAGTGGATTGGCTCCGGTAGAGCCTGGAAGTGGTTGAGGTATCTCCCGTTATCCGCGGATCAAAAGGCCAAGACGAATCTGGACTTGTGGCTGGATGCCATGGACTTCGGGAGCATCAAGAATCTTACTCTGAGGCCCAGATTTCACGAGTATCCCGACGTGGCGAAGCTGATCCCACACTTTAAATCACTTCAGTCGTTAAAGGTCCACGGCGCCTGGGCAAAAGACCTCATCTTGGGGGTGCCCGAGAACTCGCTGACACATCTGTCGTGGATATCCAGCCACGAGACCGGCTCTTCCGTGTTGCCCATCATACGACACCATGCGCAGTCTCTCAAGAGTCTTGAATGGCGCGAGGCGGAAAGCCGAATTCGACAGCGTCGAGTGATGACGGCGGAAGAAATCGCAGAACTCGGCCGCATGGCGCCGAACCTGGAAAGTATCATACTCGACGTCAACCGCAATGGGACATGGCCGATGGAGCACTTTGACGCGCTGGTGACAAATTTCCCCAAGCTAACCAACGTTACGATCTTCTTGGAGTTTGCGAGCGAGTGCCGGCGACAGCTGGGTGCCTCCACGGAGGGGATCTATGGCTACGAGCAATGGAAAATGGGCGAGGCGTCGGATTGCAGCAGCGGAGTAGAGTCCATGGCCCAGCCACCGCTGGAGATGAAACAGGCCATGCAGCTGTGGGGACACTTGCGGGAGAAGAAGGTTGGCGATTTGTTGAAAAAGGTCGTTTTCTATGCGGGTGACTGGGAGCGGCCGTGGGATGGGGCGTTGGCTGAAAGTGCATGGCTCGAGGGCAGGAGATCATTCTTCTGGTGCGAGGCTTCGGACAACCCGCCGAAAAGATATAATGGCGGGTGTGTGGGGCTGATAGCGGATGTTCCTACGAGGGGCAGCTCCTCTGGGTATGATGAAGACGGATGGGATGCTCCTGGTTGGCATAGCGATCTGGCTCGGCGAGCCATGCGGATGGAGCTTTGATGTGGAGGACTCTTGAAGAGTAGAGCGTAAGAATCAAGATGGCGTTTTGTTCGATCCGGATGTTATCGCCTCCTCTGCGCGAGCGTCTCTTTCCATGAGCTCTCTGACCCAACTTCCAATGCCAACCGAGACGCAGACGGTACTCCACCTAGGCCCGTCACCGAAGCACACAAAGTTCTGAGACAGCCACCCCACAAGCGCCTGCATCATCTCGCCATCAGAAGGCGTCCCCTTCCCCTCCGCGACAGCCTGCATCCTCACAGCCTGATCAGTCGTAATCTGGTTGAGGATATTCCCCGCGACCTCTTCCGGCGTCTTCCAGTACCTGCTCGGCCTCCCCTTCTTCTCGCACTCATCCCTGACAAGTTGGTCAATTTCCACGCAGGCTCGCTCAGCGAACTGGTCCGAGAGCTTGCGGAACATGTACCCCTTGTTCTTGTAGTCAATCCTCGCCTGGGCGAGCGAGAGGAGGTACTTGCGGTCAGTGAGCTGCTTGGAGTGGCTGAACATGCGGTCCAGAGCTTTGATGGCGGGCGGAGAAGGGCGCGCGTCCCAGAGGTCGACGGTGTAGTTCATTGTGGACCAGAAGATGCATCCGGCGAGGGTATGCATGCCCGGACCGAGATAGGGGATGATGTCGAGTGGTGGTTCGAGGATGCGGATGAGGCGGTCTGTGTCTACCCAGAGGCCGTAGTCTAGGCGGGGACTTGATCTGCCGCTGGCACGGAGGCGCCTTTCTGATGTTGATGATGGATTTTCTGGCGCTATTGAGCGTTGGGTTGTTGCTGGTAATGGTGCCCGGGATAGGCTGTTGGGTGGTGATTTTGATGGTCCTACTTCTTCAACATCATGGTCGTCGACATCATCCATGGCATCATCTTCGGTGATGTCGGCGAGGTCTCGTGCACGACGGAGTGCGGCTCTTAGATCCTCCGACACGGGCTGTCCCTTGAAAGTCCTATTGATTTCGGCTATGGCATCCTTGAGATTTTTGTTCTCCTGCTCGAGCTTCTGAACCTTGGAAGCATGTCGCTTCCGGTACTCGCGCTGAGCAATGACACCGCGCTCGCGACGCCGGGCCTGGAACAAGTTAGTGAACCTTGTCTTCAGCCTGGGTGAATATCTCACTAGTTGCATTACCTCGACGTCGGTTGGACTCATCCCTTCTTCTTGGTACGGTCTCGTTATAGCAGTGAGACGTCACAGCAACTGAACGGACTCAACATGGACCAAATTAACGTTATCGTGGATGAGAAATGGCATGGGTGGTCTTGTCTTCGTTGACGTCGAGGAAGGATTAATCAGCGAGAACTGGGAGAAGATGGATCATGTCAGCAAGTAAGCTGGGGCCCACCCCGGCCGCCCGCCCATAACGTTATCCGTCTCACACGGCCCAGCGCCGGTCCAGCGCCAATGGTGTGGGTCTTGCCAACTTTTGTCCGAGGCCGATCGTTAAACGTTGACGGCTCTGAATGTTGTCCAAATTTGCAATCCTTCTTCCTTGAGTTCGGTAGTATACATTAGAAATACTGCCTGACATAGCAAGGTGATGACGCCCCAGCCTCACTGCCGGTATGAGCCATACTAGACGCTGAGAAAGACCTTAGTCGAGCGCTTGGCTTATGTCCAAACGGGAGGCATGATGTGTTCAATATCGGCATCAGCATAATCAATCTCTGCAATTTGAATACATAAGTGAAGGAGCAGAGGGAAGAGATGAGTGCACTGTTGATACATTTGCCATCGCCTCCGAACACCACTTCCGCTCCAACGCTTCATAAACATCATCAACCGCTTCAAGACTCGGAACAGCGGACATCATGTCTTTCCCTGCTCCCACCAAAACATACCGCACGCAGCCGTACGCCGCAATTTCCCCGTCTCGCCCGGAACTCTCAAGTAAAGGCAAAAGCGCCTTTATCTCAGGCGGCGGCGCAGGTATCGGCGCCTCCATCGCCAAATCTCTTTCAAAATCCGGCATTACGAGCCTGGGCCTCCTAGGACGCACGATCAAGTCCCTTGAAGAGACAAAGACTGCCATTGAAGCCTTGAACGCAGAGACAAAGGTGTTCCTCTATACTGTCGACGTCACAGAGGCAAAGGCAACCACCGACGCCGTCACCTCCTTCGCCAGCTCCGTCGACGGAGGCAAGATTGACATCCTCGTTGCCAATGCAGCTTACATGTCCGACCTCAAGACCATCACCGACTCGGACCCCGAAGACTGGTGGCGTGCTTTCGAGATTTCCATCCGCGGCAACTTCAACCTCCTCCGTGCATTCCAACCCGTCGCAACCCCTAACGCCGCCGTCATCCACATCTCCACGGCCGCCATCCATCTCCCCTACATGTTTGGCTACTCTTCCTACCGCGCCTCCAAGAGCGGTGCGACAAAAATGTTCGAGTACTTCCGCGACGAGAACCCGGGATTCTTCGTCCTGCAGGTACATCCTGGCCTCATTGGCGGCACGGTCATGTCGGAGAAATTTGCGCCGAGCGTGGAGAAGTTTGGGCTCACGTACGATGACATTGCCCTCCCCGGAGACTTTGTCGTGTGGGCCGTCAGCGAGGAAGCCAAATTCTTGAATGGGCGGTTCGTCCACGCGAACTGGGATGTTGAGGAGCTGGTGATGCTGAAGGAGAGTCTTGAGAAGGATCAGAGTCGGTTTACTATTGGATTGCAGGGTTGGTACTAGATCATGTGGGGGCTGGTCAGGTCTAGTATTGTAAGTTCTGCACGTAAGCATTGCACGTAAGCATCTGTGAAACTCCTCTATCGTACCTAGTAATCTCAGCGTACCTGTCCATAGAAGAGAAGACCGTGGGTATCTTCCGAAGCTCACTGAAACGACCTTGGCCAGCACTTTTCACTCGAGTACCCATAGAGCACGCAAATATAGCAATAAGAAGAGAATAGCAAATACAACATCCTCCCCGACGTCCAGGGATCCATCATTTCGCTGACATTCACACTGGATAACACCCCTTCTAAACGACTTACCGTTGCTTCCAGTGCTTCTTCCCTTGTGCGGAATGTTGACGCGTCTGCCCGTGGGTTGGACGAGGTTGCCTGCTCGCGGATGGCTCCGACCCAGGGGTCCAGAACATCTTCTCGAACTCCGATGGGATAGGCGCTTGCCTAGAAAATGTAGTCCAAACTTCCAACACCGTATTGTCCCACTTGGAGTTATAGATCGCACGCGCTCGCCTGCCTTGTGCTCTGGCCCTCTTTGCGTTCTCACGCAATAGCCCGAGAAGGGAAGCCAGCTTTTTCAGGGCTTCGTGGTTCTCCCATTCCCATTTCTCCATCAGCGGCCCGCAGTCTTCTATCCGAACGCCGGTAAACTCCCCAATTTCGTGTCGGCCTATGATAAGGTGGGGGGTCCTTCCAAAGTACATCTGATTCATTGCTTCCCATGGTTCCATTCTTGGCCGGGCCTTGAGCTCCATTATCACGGAAGGGGGGGTTTCTTGGCCCCTCTGGATAGCTCGTGTTTCGCTGCTGATCCTGGCTTTCCCTTTAAGAGTGTTCTTTTGGGGGGTACTTTGTATGACGCTGGGTGGTGCTTCAACGTCGGCATCGTTTCCTGTTGCATTCTCCTCCGGCCCATGGTAAGCACCATCGACCTCATGACGCACTAGGCACTTCATCTCGCCAATGTTGTACTGGATGACTCTCTGATGCGAGACGGAACTTTCGAGACCCGCGTCGTACTTAGTGAATGCTTGTTCAAATGCATGCCCCCAACTCTCTTCTCCAGGTTTTGGAGACATTCTGAAGCAATTATTCTCCTTGCGCCAGGCGATGAAGAGCGTGTTGTTGACCAGGTCCAATTCGACCCTGAAGGACTTTTGGCTTTTGCCTCTGGCAAAGTCAAAAAGGTTTTGCAACCCGCCCCGGCTGATGACAATGTCCACATCCTCAAAGTTGGCTGACGGATTCATGATGCTGGCTGCTCTCATCATTGGCTCGAATGGCATCACAGGGTTCCTGTAGACGTTGTGGTCGACGTATTGGATACCGTGATCGTGCTCCAGTTTGATAGGGAGCGAAGGCTTCTTGTATTTGGCAGCTGCGCCTAATATTTGTGCATGATCAGTTTAGAAGTGTGGTTAGACTCAACAAGAGGGTTTCTTACCAGGTACAAAGATCGTCGGCTCAAAGGCGTCTGACCAATTGTATGAGCACACAACAGAGAAGTCACTCACAGTCAAGGCCATTGGCCCTTCAATGGCTTCAATGAGTTGATTGGAAACAGTGCCAAAATGCTTGAAAGCTGCAATGTACAGCCAATCAGCCTCTTTCTTCGTGCCGCTCTCGACGCGTTTCGCAATGCCGTCGACATCTGGCTCCCAGAACGGATTCTTGGGTCTCTGCATTTCCCGTTTAAAAGGTGTCTCTGCAGCGGAATTTCTGTGGATCTCCTGTCTCGCGTCGTTCTTGATTGCTTTGGTGGGGATTCTGGGAGAATGATGCTTCGCGGAGGGGATCACCTCCGGAGATTGAGGCAAAAATGATGGACGAAAGACCCCTGTCTCGGGGTTCATGCCGGAGGCCTTTTCCCTCATTATGATTGACTGACTCACGTCTTATGGAATGAAAGCACGTCTAAGCAAGGCTAAATTTGAGTGCGATGTCAGAATACCAGATAACAACCGTAGAAGTCAAACCGAAGGTTTTGAGAGCTCCACGGCACATAATTACAATTGAGGCTTGTAATTATCAGTACACTGCACTTGGAACCCATTTCTATATAGAAGATTTCGGACATCAGGATGGAATCATGATTGCGGGCGGATTGAGACACGAAGGGGGCCGAAGACAAGAATTATCCAGACGAGGTCGTTTTTCACTCACCTTGGTCAGCTGACACACACTCAAAGCACGTGACGGCGTAGCTATTGTCGAAAAGATATCGAACACCTGATTCGAGTGGTTCTTTGAGACTTTGGGCGTGAAGTTGCAAGCATCGAGATGGAAACCTTGAACGAGTACTGTGTCATACTCTTTCTCTGGCTATCACCAGAAGTGGAATGCCGATCAAAGGAGGTTGAGGAAAGGGGTCCACTGCACAGGAGAGATGAAATAGACTTTTCCTAACCAGGGAGAAGCCCACTTATCATAACAGTTCGGCCAATAAGAAACCTTGCTTTATCAAGGTCGCCTCACCTCCAGCAACAACATCAAGTTCTCTAGGTAGGTATTGCTATGAGTTTCCGCGACGCATTTGATATTCCGCTATGGTTGGTAGAAACAAATAGACGATTGCGGCCGTTACTTTGGCTGGAGACTGGATAACTGCTATGGGTCAAAACGCCGAGACAAGTGGGTGGGGTATCCGATCTAAGTCAAAGCCACCTCCCGAATAGTCGAGCTCCGGATGAAAAGACCGAGAGGAAGCCACTACGACTATCGGGAGGACCTTGAAAAAAGCCGGGATTGCCCACAATCCGAGAATTATGCTTCAAGGTTGAGCGGTGCCTATATACACATCACGGGAATGGCCCGCACTTGGTCTCGTACCAATATCTGGCCCGACACGAAGTCCCCTATCCTATTCCATCGAATCCTACACCTGTAGCCATTTCGTGTAATAATTCATTGAACAACTATCTTGTTTGGTTTCGAAGAATTTTCGGCAAGTTAGATCCTCAGATACAACCTTAGTGGGATGACATAGGATCCAGACCCATGTCCAGGGAGCTGGCTGCGAGTCCAGAGCCGTTGGGATGACGGTGGTGGAGCCAAGACATCGTTCAGCCTCCCGGATGCGGCCCGCCAACGGGGCTCAAAGGCAAAAGATTCCCCAACCGGCGACTCTCCGCAGTGATCAGCTGGTCCACTATCACAATATGCGGTATGAGGCGCCCGTGTATTTGGCTCTCCGGATACTGAAGACCCCTTGGCGGAGACGAAAACGTACCTCTCCATTGTCCGAGGTGACAAGAATTCGGAACTCTTGCTTCTGCACTCACCACTGCAGACCACTTGATCACTGTCATTAGAAAGATACTTGGCATCATGTAAATCTATAAGAACCCCCTTCTCGTCTCACGGATTCAGAAAATTACCTCAAACACCATCACAGCACACTCGGCAATTTCAGCACCTCCATTTCCCTTCTCAAGTCTTTGACAAAAAAGGAACTCCCTTTTACCCCAATATGAAGGCCTCAACTGTTCTTCTCGGGTTCTTCTCCTCCCTCGTCATTGCCGCTCCGACTACCCCCGCGGACTCCAGTCTTGTTGAAAGACTCTCCATTCTTGCCCCGGTCTGTCAAGGAACTCCAGTATGCTGCTCGGCTGATGTCGTCAGCGGCGTAGTGTCTTCAAACTGCGTAGCACGTAAGATCTCCACATTGATCCCTGATTTGCAGGAGCCTGGTGTAAGTCTTCTTGAGCTGAGTAATGAACACAGCTGTTACGCCTCCAATCACCACCCTTGGGTTCCAAGCTGCCTGCCTGCTCGATGGGAATCGCATTGCCCGATGCTGCTCTCTCAGCGTTGTAAGTGTCCTAATAGTGGCCCTGAGTCTGTGCTGTGGCTAACCTCCAAACACTAGGCCGGTTTGGCAATCCTCTGCAAGGCGCCTGGCACCTAAAGAGCTCTCTGAGTATCTTGCCACGTCTTTGACATTTCCGAGAACATTGTGCTCCGACGGACGATTTCATTACTACTTAGGCTTTTTAATAATCTAATACTTGTCATTTCCATCCACGGCCTGAAAGCTTTGTTACATGGTATCTCATGCGCGCACATTATACGTAAGGAAGTATCATGATGCTTCGCAATTATTGGCTGTCTGCAATGTTCCGAGATCCAGTTCTAAGTCCTTGAATATTGATCTACATTGGAATCCGGGGCTCTGCGACACTGATGATACCACATGCGGGGGTGTCACTAGTGTATATACTCTCCAGCATCATTCTAAGGGTGGACCATGAACAGCACATGTATGGACCTTTGGTCGGCTGATGGAAGCCACCGTGTGTTGATTTCTATTGTTGCTAGTGCATTACAGTTTTGTTGATCGCACATGTGACATAATCTTTGCCGAGACGAAAGCAGGTTACAGCCAAGTGCTCAGAGGTAGACGATAATTCATCTACAATGCTCGGGCTGGGTTGAAACTTCCTGGAGGACACCGCCTCATGCTAGCTCAACTAATGATCAGAAATAGGACCTGTAGTTACTGGATTGCTCTTCACTCCTTAGCACGAGATGTTTGATCCAAATGAGCGATGCGCCGATTTAGAGGGAGACTCGGTGATACTCGGACACGGAGCCGGAAGATCCCGTGCGGGGCCGGGCACTCGTAGTCGGACGTCCCGGCGTTTAATCCCATTCTAACCAATTTACTGCTCACCGAGGAGATACAGCCCAGAGCTGGACGTTGAACTAGACTGTTTCCTCATGTAATACCAATCTGAAAGGGGTTCTTTGTTTCTGAATCTCAACGTCCAATACATCGGCTGCTGAGTCGTCTTCCGCCCTTATCCCGGCGGTTGGCGAGCTGTGGGGTTCCGGAACCCGCTTGGAGATGTCGCCATCGCACCCATGTAAGCACGACGCGATGTCGGACACAATACCGAACCCATCCATGGTCAAAGGCTCCAATCCACGTTTTTTCTTCGCATGTGCGCCGACAAACCGCGCCCTTGCCGGCGGCCTGCATCAGGGATAGGTCGTCCGACGATGAGCACCGCCCAGGATTGTCTCATTACGATTTACAATAACGCCACGCGAACCAAGCTTATTCCAGCCCATTGGCGGCCGGACTCAACCAATCTGAATTGGACCCGGTATCTGACGAGCTGCAGAGTCCAGAAACTGGGGTGGGGGTTCCAAGGAGTAGACACAAAGAAAAAAACCAGACTGGTGCTACATCACGGAGGTTGGCCGCTCGGGGAACTCTCTAGGGGGAGGAATGGATATCCCGCAGGACAATATGGGTAGAGCAATGCAGAGACCGAAGGAATCGGCAATGTCTTAAAAGCTCGACATCGAACGGACCCCATTTCCTCCCGCACTTGCATGACCTTTATCCATTGCGTCGGGATCGAAAAGCAACCTCAGCTACAATGTCGTCAATCGATCAAGCGAAGCAACCACATGAGGTTGATGAGGAGGTCCAGGATGTTCAACCTACGAAGCCTGTCTCACGATTCACTCGCTGGTACCGCTCGCCTCTTTTCAACGTCATCCTCGTGGGCTTGATCTCCTTCACTCAACCCGGTATTTGGAATGCCCTCAACAGTATGCGATATCCCTAGGCCTAAGAGAAATCACAGACTAATCAATACCTCAAGGTACCGGCGCTGGTGGCCAGCAAGAGCCTTACCTCGTCAATGGCTCCAACTCACTCACCTTTGGCATCATGGTCTTTGGCTGCAGTTTCTTCGCCATCATGGCCAACAAGATCGGTCTGAAGACGGTTCTGATCATCGGTACCCTTGGTTACGCTCCGTACTCAGCATCCATGTACGTCAACAACCGTTACGGCGTGGAATGGTTCGTGCTGTTTGGTGGTGCGACGTGCGGTATCGCAGCATCTGCGTTGTGGGCAGCTGAAGGCGCCATCGCCTTAGGATACGCCGACATCAAAGACAGAGGAAAGTTCACTGGTATCTGGCTCGGTCTGCGTGAGCTCGGACAGCTTCTCGGCGCCGCCATCCAGCTTTCGCTGAACGTCAAGGAGAACCAGCGCGGAAAGGTCGGATACTCGACCTACCTGGTCTTGATCGCCCTGCAATGCCTTGGTCTTCCCCTAGCGCTGCTCGTGTCTCCCCCGCAGAAGGTCATCCACAGCGATGGCAGAAAGGTTGCCGACCCTACCAAGAATAAGGCTGTCCTGGGAGAGTTCCGCAAGTGGTTAAAGCTGCTCAAGAAGAAACAGTTTTACCTTTTGATTCCCATTCTTGTCGGTTTTAATTGGAACAGCACATACCAGGGCATTTACCTGACCAAGTACTTCTCGGTCAGAGCGAGAACCCTCGGCGCCTTGACATCTGGCATCGCTGCATCTGCTGCCAACATTTTCTGGGGCTGGTTCTACGATCTGAAGTGCTTCAGCCGACCTCAGCTCGCCAAGATTACATGGTCGTGCTTCTCAGTCATCATGCTGGGCTTGTTCGCATGGCAGGTGGCCAACGAGAAGCTCTACGAGGATACGGTTCCCAAGGTTACCCTCGATTGGAGCACCCCTGGATTTGGACGCGGATTTGCAGTCAATGTGCTCTTCCGGTAAGTGCATCAATGTTCCGTATTCACCTTGTGTGAGCAGTACTAAAGATTCACAGCTTCATGAACGAGTCGCACTACATGTTCGTGTATTGGATCATGGGCACCTTCTTTGACGATATCGAAACTCTGACACTCGGCGTTGGTCTTGTCCGATCCTTCGAATCCATTGGCTCATGCTTGGCCTTCGGTATTGGTGCCGTCAAGGTTTCTCCGATGGTGAACCTCATCGTCGCCTTCGTCATGTTTGTTGTTTGCGTCCCAGCGACCTCGTGGGCCGTTCTGCTTGTGCCAGAGCGACCTGTCGACAACACGAAACTAGAGGCGGAGGACTCTGCTGTCGAAGACAACAAAGTAGTGGCAAGCCCAGTTGATGTTACCACGACGGCCGCCGCTGTTGATGGTCCTCGCAATGTTTAAGATGATACCATGGCATTTTTTCATGGTTCAGCTTCAGCCACACTAGACTGGTTGCCTGACGTAGGTAGCCATGCATTACCGATCTGTTGGCAATCAAAATATAAGTGAGACTGTCTTTAATATTCAAAACTACGCATTGGTGCATATGGCGCTTGCTATCTTGGTCTTGTTGTTTGTCCTTCCTGATCGAACTATTTACATTGTGAGGCTGAATATGGACATAAGAATCGGGATGAAAGTGTGCATGTCAGATGTTTAGTCTCCTCTCAAGCTGCCACCTTGAAAAGAATCAACATTTTCCTTCAAATAGAAGCCTTGTCGAGGTTCTCGGTAAAGTTCTCATCTTTGAAAGGCACATTGGCACCACCGAAATCGGTGTTGTTGAGAGCAGTTTGCATGTTCGTCGACATAGCGTCCCAGTCAAGAACAGGGTACGTCTTGCCGGTGGTATCAGTAAACTGAAGCTCATGGTTCAGTAACAGCTGTGTGAAGTATTCCACCTTCACGCCATCACCTTCTCTTTGCGGGTTAGTCGACTTCTTGTAGTCGCCGTGACCCGAAGCCGCTCCACCTAGGATCGTCGGGTCCGCAACTGAGGGGTTGTTGAGCCAGACCACCACGCTCTCCCAGTCGTGTCTGTGCGAGCCTGTGGAGACGCCGTCGTTCGGCATGTCTTTGGGAAAGTACCAAGCGTACATGATGGCGTACTTGTCGTTGTGCCATGTGCCTCTGGCATAGGTCTGGCCCTTGCTGGTGTCTTTGCAGCCTCCGCTGGAGCTGCCGCTTGGCTTCAGGCCACCACTTATTCCATCATCAGCCTCGTATCTTTGTGAGGATTCTGTTGGACACGTACCTGGTGTCTCCGGCATCATCAACAGCCGTGTACGGTTGGCAACCATGAGAAATGTGAAGGAGCGGGTTGAATCGTGCGATGGCTTTGCCGACAGTGTTATCCTGAACTTTTTGGGCGAGAGGACTAAGAGCGTCGTGGCCAACTTCTCCGCGAGAGTCCAGAACAGTGGCAACGGGAGCGGCGAAGGCACTGCTCACGAGGCCGAGAAAAGGAAGGAGGACGGTAGAACGCATGTCGGAATGAATGACTACGGCTTGGTGTTAGTTGACATCTTCCCAGACTTGATAGAGCGATCGTCATACCAGTAACGAATGAACTAGTTGAAGTGAATGCTGACAATGAAGACCTGCTTCCCTGGTTGCCGTCTAGGATCTATGGTGAAATGAAGTTGATGGAAGTAAGTTGGCAGAAAAAGCAACAAAGACAGGGAAAAGGGCGGCTTTTGGAACCGACTCGATCCTAGAAAGTGTCAAACTCGGGCTAGGCCAGATCCAATTTCCAGTGGATTGAAGAATCGCATGAGTTAATTCTGACTGCAGGTCCGCAGCACGCGCGCGGCGTTCGGAAACCTGACCGGGTCCGAAGTCTACAACATGCAGGGGTCATGACAAATGAGACGAACCACTGGTGCTATCAAAAGATCAGGAAATGCTACCATTTGACATCAGTCAAATGAGGTTGGGGTGATCTGGCCTCGAAAGCCGCCAAACCGGAACCGAGGCTGATTACCTGCGTCTTCCGCAGGGCATATTGCTTGCCACACCAAGCCCTATAGCTAAACCTTGATATGCTTCTTGAAGCTGTTCAGTGTCCAGAATTAGCGACGCCTAGGCTGGCGGGCTGAGAACTTTCATCTAGCTGCGGCTTTCTGTGTGGGCCCGTTGGTGTCGACCGAGTCAGTCCAAGGTTACACTCTTCCCCGTGTCCATGATTGATAACCCAGCCTTCACCACCATTCTGGTCCAATTTGGTCCACAACTTTCAATCTGTTACTGGACGACTGCCAAGTATCCCGTGGCCTGCTAGATTGGGGAGCACAAGGAGATCCGAGTTGTCCATGCCAAGAAGGCTCCATCCGCCTGACCATCGTGGTTCTCGCGTGGTTCTCCAGAAGGTTAAGGCGACTATCTTTGTTGCTAGTCATGACATCAAAGCATTGACGCACCGCCCTGTTTTCCGAGCCGCAAAAACCATGGGTCCACTTCTTCGCCTGACTGCTCGGGATGGGATGGCGACCTTCAGCATGCAATTCCTCAGGGCTTTGACAAGTCACTCAAACAATTTGGGTTAATCTCCTGCAACAAACTGCAACTAGCAAAAAATCCGCATCGAGAAAGTGTCCATTCTTCTACGCGATATCAATTCAATCCAAGACTTCTTTCAAAAACCTTCGATTCCTTGCCAATCGGCTGAATCAAGGTGTAGCTTCCGGAATTATTGAACTCCTGCACCCCGTTGAGCAGGTAAAGTGGAGTCATCTGTCCGTCACCGCTGAAATACAACTTTGGTCTCTCCCGGCGATAGTAGTCTAACTTGACACCATCGGTGAACTCAACGGTTGTGTTGTACGTCAAGGTGTTATTGTTGTAAGTCCAAGGACCCTCCCAATTGCGAGCGTAAGCATGTGCGCCGACTCGCGGCCCTTTTCTCCCTTCCGCGATATCGACCATGTGGTGAACCAGAATATGCCAATGTCCTCGTTTGTCTCTCCAAAGGAATGGATCTTCACTGCGCTCCGTGTTTCGCGGTTCAACAACAAGCTCGTGGGGTGCAGAGAAGTTATCTGCGTGGTAGATGTTGTTCTTCTCCACAGCGAGTAGGATCTCGTGCGTGGGATCCTCAGCTGTCCACAGCGGCCACGGTGCAGGGTTCGTGACGTTGATAACCTGCGGGATGGGTGTCGTCCATTCTCTGAGATCCGGCGACGAGGAAACCGAGATCGTATTGTTCCACTTCTGGGATTTACAAACGTCGCCAACCTCGACGTCTTTGCCGATAAAATAGATCAAGAACTTTTCATCCGCTGGGCTCCAAATAGTCGTGGGATTGTGATGAAAAGTGCTGAATAATGTTTGGGCGTAATTATACGGGCCTCTTGGCCCAGTGCGAGACTCGGCTCTGATGATGGTGCTGAAAGGCCGCCAACCAGAGAGACCACAGCCGTGTGACATTTGCGACGTAATGAGATGGAAGAGGCCCTTGTCTCCGCGATCTTGGATGATGTGACCTCCCCAGGAAGAGTTTCCGGCGCCCTCCTTGTAGAAGTCTGATCCTGTCGCGTTCGTGTGGTTGTACCCTGTCCAACGCTCGACTGGCTGCAAATCCAGTTCACTGCAGTCGGCAGAACGCCATCCTTTGTCACAGACACAGGAGGAGTTTTGATCGCAAAGGCCGTTGAGACTGCAGTCGTCGTCCGTTCGACATCCAACAACTCCAACCAAGAGGCTGGAGAAATAGCCAAGAACAACAAGGCCTAAGAGAGCTCTCATACTTCAGTAATGTTGGCTTCTTTATTGCTTCGCTGCCTATTATTGTGTTTCCCAGGAAATCGATACTGGGAAAAGTGCAAGACAAATCGCTCTTGTGTGCGCGACTTATCTAGCTGCAGCTGCTTAGCAAGTTCTGAAGATCGACGGGGTGAACTCTTGGCTCGTCGTAGATCTATCCGAATTGCGCAGGTCTCCATCTAGAGGACCGGCGGAAGAATTGAGATCCTCGAATCTGCGTCGGCTTCTCCGCATTTCCCCGCGAACAATACCAGCCCCAACGTGCATCATACTGCAGCAACTCATCTGTACATGTACTGAGTAGGGGAATTGAACGTACTCTGGTATTCAAACGACTATGATACCTGCGACTCGTACACCAGAGAGAGGACCATGTAGATTTAACAGACTTCAACAACCCACAGATCGTGATCCTGCTGCGATGTCACAACTGGTGGCTGTACCTCGAATAGCGATTGATAAGATGATGTTTCAGGTCTTCATTTGAGTTCCGATCATTTGAAATTATACACAGTGAACCGAATCTTCGGTATAGGCTGATACGTATGGGCACCTGAGCTAGGTAAGCGTACGGAAAACGGGAAGATGCAGTGAACGGCTCTAGGCCCGCTGCTATCAGCCAGGTTATACCGTAACACGGATTTGCACACAATCGCTACTCAAAGGGGGAAACTTGGGATGAACACTAGCTTGGCTGTCTGGAGGTTTTCTACCTCACGGACTGGATGAAGGTCGACAACGTCGAAAAGCTGATTTCACGTCACAAGAACCTGAATTTAAGCAGTTGAGGAAGAGATTCTTCGCCTATTATTTCTGAGATAAGTTGGAAGCTTGAAGTACGCAGCGGAGCCCCTTGAACAACTATTGCATTGCAGGTTCACTTACCGCGCGTATCAAAACATCGCTCATATTGAGCTTTTGCATGATTTTAGGGGAAAAGGGGTTCCCGTGTTGAAAACTGACGATGAGTGATTGCGGCAGTAAGGCAAATGGGATACCAGCTATCTTAGACAAAAGCTATGTTCATCCACACCGATTTTGGACCAAACCCTCCTTATCACCTAGCAAACATCCAGGCTCGCTTGGCCCTTGCAATTTGCAGTTGTGCTGACCTTGGGACTCTCCTGGCCCTTTTCAACGCCCTTGTACTCCTGGCAGACCTTGGTAACACCGGTGCCGCAGGACCCAGACACTGTTGCAACATCTCCAAAGTTTGAGTTGATGCCGGCGAGTAATTTGATATTGTTTGCATTCAAGTTGGTCACCACCAAATTTCTTGGACCACCGTTGTTTGCACAATTGGCGCATGAGCGGTAAAGACGGTTTGCGTTGATGGCAGTGAAATCTTTGACCGTAGCTGTTCCTCGGCCCAAATGCGAGATCGTGTTACCGGAACCTCCGCGGACACCACCTCCCTCGACGAGGATATCGCCGTTACCATTGATCACTATGGCATCTGTATCATCGCGCAGAGGTCAGCCTTCGTTCTCTCGGAACTCATTTTTGCCATGGTCCAGTTCACGGAGACAACATCTTACCTTCACAGGCCTGTCGGAACCAAACATTCTTCAGCGTGCAAGCACCTTTACAGTGAACTCCTTCAACCTGGCCGGCACTAATGATGACGTTGCTGATAGTGGCGCCATTTTCAAGTATGAAGACGGGGTGCCCGCCTGGAGTCTCAACATCGGTATTGCATGAGCGTCCGCGATCGTACTCCATATTGCCAAAATCCCTAGACCCAGATATCACACTCGGTGCCGGTAGTGAGATGATGGAACCGCTTCGGCTGGGAATGTTGAGTGTTTGACCGGCAATGAGGCCAGCGAGGAGCGCCGCTGGCAGTGTCTTAGAAATGAACATAGTGAATCAAAGTTCGAAGGAAAATCCGGTCGAGTAATGAAGAAAGGTTTGCCTGTCTGGCATGCAGAACCACCTGGATAAAATAGATGTAGATTTCAAGTGGACTATATCCCTCTTTGATCTACTTGCGACAGTCATCTATAGCAAAATTGTTGAAATTGAAGAACTCAGGCCTGGTAAGTCCTTGCAGGACGTATGGAATCTATAATTCTGCCATTTTGAACTCCGTGGAACCCGCGGGCATGTTTATGAGGCTACAAGGGAGGAGGACTTGATTCGTGGCTAAACCACAGCATTCACGCTCTGTGGAAATTTCTCCAGTGATGTAGTCTCGTATCCATGGTTCTCACCCTTCTTTGGTGGATTATCTAACGATATTATTCCGCTCTTGAGGTAGCACGTACCGGGCGCTTATCTTAATAGAGCAGTGCCAAGCCATACTCACCTCCTGCAATCTTAGCCGTCAATCATATGCTGTCCATCTTGCGAAGCCAAGAGGTCTATGCTATCCAACTGGCCATGTTGCTACTGGGGCCACGGAAGCACTTTGAGAATACAGCATCATCTGGAGTCTGCTTGTGGTTTGTCATCCATCATTCACCTTCCACTCATCAATCAACTTCCGCCTCTGATGATTCGTAGCCCACCCCAACTCCGTTTCGATACCAGAGAGTAGCTCCAGAACCAAGTCCTGTTCCGGTCGCGTATAAAAGGCCTGCCCCGCCACGAAAAGCGGCTGGACAGAGTGAACACGCACCGCATCAGTAGGATCCGCGAGACTTATCCCACAAATCTCCTTACAATGACGCAACACCTCTTTCTGGATAAGCCGATACGATCGCAGACGCGCCGACACGGTCGACCGTATGGCCGTGGATTCTTGGGGTCGGTTCACCAGCAAAAGAATCCGAGCCATATGGTAGCTTTGCATCGTCGACGCGCACATCGGAATGTCGTACCAGACTCTCTCCATGTCCATATCCGTCTCATCATCACCCAATTCCCCTTGGCGACTAAAGAATCTTGTCCGGGCGCTGGGCACAAAGGTCGGCGGTAGACTCTCGTACCACTCCTGTAATTCGACTTCGAGCTTCGTCCATCTTCCCAAGAGGAGTTCCTGCATCAAACCGAGCGACATGCGCTGGCCGGCGGGCTTAGAATAGTCTTCCGGGCGGATACCGTCCCCGTTGGTGATGTAATTTACAATCTTCCCCAGGAGCCACAAAAGCTCGTTGCTTTTCGAGTCTTCATCCACGTTGGTCGAGGAGCGGATATCGGCCGTCGAAAAGGGGCTGAAGGGGAGTACAAGGTTGCGTTCGTCTGTAGCAAGGCCAAAGTTCTGCCAAAGACGGATGTGGTCCAAGTTGAGACGCGTCTGGGTTTCACTTATGACTTTCGGGGTGCAGATGTTAGCCCTTTGGCCACGACAGTGTATGCGTTGAAAAGCTTACAAGCACAGAGGAAGTCCTGCCTTGCCAGACTCCAGAATATTGGCCCCTTGGTCGGAGACTGCGGTATCGAGACCGGAGAACATCCTCCCAGAGCGCTATCTGAGGCAGAGTAAAGCGACAGAGCTGTGAGATGCGCCTTCCACGCGTTCCCTGGGGCGTTCATCAACTCGTACATGCAAAGTATGGCAACTGCGGCAAAGGTATCTGCATGTTGATCACTCGTCTCGCTATGTCGCGCATCGTCCCTTGCTCCGGCGAGAGTGATGGCATGCTTTAAACGTCTGATGGCTTGGTGATAGTGTCGGACGGCGTGGTATTGCCAGTCAGGGGGTGTCGTAGCCGACGGAGCCATCGAAGCTCTCGTGCTACGGGTCTGTCGGGTCTGGCTGTGATTTGACTGTGTGCGCGATAAGTGCTTTGCTGCAAGAGCGCAGATTGCCGATTTGAGAAGCGGCCGAGTCATTGCTCTTATTGGTATTTTGCATGAGAAATGCGCAGATGTATCAAATAGGTCCATCCTACCACCCACATATTAGTAGCTGTACAGCCTCAGGGTAGAGGGATATGAAGACAACAGGGCTTACCATTGCCCAGGTCCTTGTCTGAAATGTCTCAGAAGCTTGAGAGCTATTATGTTCGCCTCTGAATCATCGTCGTCGCCGTTGTCGTCCAAATCTTCGTCGTCATCTGCTTGAATTATGGGTGATGTGAGGCCCACTGGGTTTAATACAACATCGTCTCCAATGGATGCAGTAATAGATCTGCTATGCACGGCATCGCTATCCACTCCTAGATCCTTCAAAGACTGTTGAGCGAAGTCGGAGACTCCTTCCATCCCCGACATGTAAGCCGGAGCTCCTCCACTCTCCGCATCCCGAGGTTCAGGTGTTGACAGCGTGTCACCCCATTCATCAGATGGCCTTCCTTCAGTATTGTGACTGTCATGCTGCAGAAGAAGATCATCGTCGGAGATATAGTCGTCTGCCTCGAATTGGTTCGTGATATTCACAAAGACAACTGAAGCGGTTGGTCAGTGACAACATTAATGTTAGATTCCAGACACACATCGACCCACGTTCATGCGGGATATCGAGCCAGGTTTGATCTTCTTCGAACAGATTCTCGACAATAACACGGCCTGCAGAAGCCTTGTCTTGTCCCCGACAAAGAAGAGAGTGATCAAAATGACGAAACTTTGTGTCTTGCGAAAAGATGCATTCGCGATCAGACTTGGTACATTGCCCGCAAGCGGGTCGCGCCTCGTTGCATTTCAGTTTTCGCTGCCGGCATGTCAAGCTGTTTGTTGAAGTTGTAAAGATAATGTGCGTTCCTGATTGAAGGTAGCAACCCACCACCCATGATGCGAGCGCATGACGCCCACGCTGTGGTCCAGAGAGGGCCCGAACAGGCCTCGACCGCGGTCTCGGCTGAGGGAGAAGGAGGCTCTGCTGGACGCGGTTGGTTTAAGGAATTATCCCTTGTTAGTCGTAGGGTGGGTAGTAAACGTGACGTTTAAGGGCGAAGAGACAACATGTCACAAGGGCGTAATTAGATCCGGTTTCAATGTGGTGGATGACAAGAGAGGAAATCTTTCCGGCGGATGGTTCCGGTGGAACATGAAAAGGCGGGGATACCTTTTTTGATCTCGAGGGTGTACTATCATTGACAAGCAGAGTGTTAAACGAATGTTGCATGCTATCATTTTCCGTCAGCTCTAGTGATTAGCGTTATCACGAGCTAATTAGGTTCCTCGTCGACCAAGTCAGCGCAACCAACGAGATGAAGCGCTTAAAAATTCAATTGTATAGGTAAATTTTGTTGGGAAGATGAGTGTATCCGTCTACAAGTCAGAGTCAGGCAGTCGGCAAAGTTACCTTAATCAGACACCGGCCAGAAGGGTCTAATGCTTATTGCCGATGGCGCGGGAGGGACCGACTGTTCCCACCTCAACTGGCAACTTTGCCGACAGGACCCTCAGTGAGCTTGCTTACCGATTGGTCTCAGACGAGAGGCAGCTAAACTCAACGATGTCAACAACTTACAAATCTAGAACCCTCGATGGGCGGATTTTGAGTTACGGCAACTAATCCGACCCGTATCGTTGTCAAAAAAAAAAAAAAAAACTGCACTGCATAAGGTAGCCCACGCTTGAGACAGCAGACTCTTGGCGAGCATGGCCTTGTGAAGGTCCAATTACCTTGCCCACCTGCGGGCTATCTATCGGATTTTCCATCAGATGGCAGACCCGGTGGGCTTCATATCCGAAAGGAGTATAGGACGTTATCAAGATGAGCAGGACAGATGTAGCCACCAAGCTAGTATAAGAACCTTTCTAGTGTTCTGAGGAAGGAAAGCTACGGTCCGCTCTCTGATCTATGCTACAGAGAATCCATCTTGTCCATCATCGCCTACTTCGTGAGCCTCGATCACAATGAGACTGTTCAAGATGCCGCCGCTCTATGCCAGGGCGTCTATAGCTACAGGAGCATGTCTAATGCTGTGGGGGTGAGTCTTCTGAGCAGATCTCTCGCTTTTGAACCAAAGTACTCAACTAACTTCCTCTCAGGCTCGACACCGGCAGTATAGGCCCAATAACAGCAATGGAGACCTTCAAGACCTCATTCGGCCACTTCTCCGCCATCCTCCACGGCGCAATCGTCTCAACCCTTCTCATAACCGGTACAATCAGCGCTCTCCTAGCAGGCATGCTAGCAGACCAACTCGGCCGAGTCGCCATGATATCCACCGGCGCCGCCGTGTTCGGCCTCGGGGCCGCCATCGAATGCGGTGCCGTCCACCTCGCAATGTTCATCGCCGGCCGCGCGGTAAAGGGTCTCGGGACGGGGCTCTTCGTCAGTACTGTCGCCGTGCAGATCTGCGAAATCACCCCTGCCAAAACCCGAGGCTTCTGGGTTGCGTTCTCGCAGTTCATGCTCACGGTGGGACTATCCCTAGGGTATTTCATATGCTACGGAACGCGTCGTGTGGCGGATTCGTCGGCGTCTTGGCGGGTGCCGCTTGCTGTTGAGGCGATTCTGGGATTCGGACTTGCTGCGACGACGCTGTTTGTGCCGCAGTCGCCTCGGTGGCTGATGGCCAAGGGTCAAGTCGAAAAGGCTCGAATGATCGTCACCCAGCTCGGCATTAGCGAGGAAGAGCAGCGTGGGATGCTGGCATCCAAGGGCAGCCAGGAAGCGGCGGCGGCGGCGGCGGCGGTGTACCCTCCAAACATGAGCATGGCGGGCACCGTCCGAGCGACATTACAAGACTTCCGGAAAGTTCTTTCCAAGCCCTTCCGCTCCCGAACCGCTTTCGGATGCTTCTTGATGGTCGCCCAGCAGACCAGCTTCATCGACGGAATTCTGTACTACGCCCCACTACTCTTCTGGCAATCAGGTCTCTCAGAGGAAACGACATTCCTCTGTTCGGGAATCCTAGCTTTGGTGATTATGGCAGTCACTATCCCAGCTACCATCTTCGCAGACAGCTGGGGTCGTCGGACCTGCACCATCGTCGGTGGGGTTGGCATCGCTGTCCTTATGTTCCTGATGGGGTCCATGTACGCCTCTAACCAAGTGCGTAGTGACGAGGGCGCCGGCCGGTGGGTGGTGATCATATCTATTTACCTCTTCGCCATCTTTTTCAACGGGACCTGGGCGATTTGTATCAAGGCTTTCTTGGTTGAGAGTCTGCCGCGCGAGACGAGGTCTAGCGGTGCGGCGCTGGGGCAAGCGGCCAACTGGCTAGCTAACTTTGTCGTTGCATTGACTGCGCCGCCGTTTCTCGCTGCGTCATCTTTCGGGCCATACTTCTTTTACGGCGGCTGTACGCTTGTAAGCGTTGTCGTCTGCGCAGTTTGGATGACGGAGACGAAGAGTCAGAGTTTAGAGGCTATTGAGGCGGCGTATCTTGAGCGCAAGTCGGGCAATGCTGACGAGAAGATGACATGGACGACGACGGCGGAGGGCTTGAGAAGTTCAGAGGAGATGTAGCCTTTCCGTGGCTGTTAGACGAGAGATATCGATTCGATGTACGCTAGATTTAGTACCATGAAGATCCACTTGCGTTCATAAAGATACTACTGTGATTTGTTAACCAGAATGAATCGCATTGAAAGGAAGCACCCCTATTCTTACATGATAACTTGCTGGCGGTGGCTAGCACTGAATCAAGAACTCTGGTGCAGTAGTCACTGTGGAGATCTTGAACGATCTTGGAAAATTGGTGGATTTCCGGATGCGTATCAAGCGGGAAGCTCTTGAGGGTATCGAGGTTATGTTTGCAAATCTCATAATCTGACCCAATGGTTTGTCAGTGACCATGTGACTCCCAGGCAATAATGCTACGGCTTCGCATACCCGAGAACAGGGCCTTGAATCCTTCCATGATGGCAACATCATTTATTGGTCGCTTCCGTAGAGAGAGCAATGCGGCCGTTATTGGAAGTGCCCAGCCGTCTTCCTCTCCGAAACATCCCTGCGCAATGGTGCTGGCAAAGCGGAAGTCGGCCTTGGTCGCTGGAGTGGGAGAGGCAAAGCATTGGATGCGAAGCCTGCAGACCCTTTTTGCCAGTTCTAGCTTCTCATTCGGTAGCCCTAGCTCTGGACAAAGCCTGAAAAGGCCGTGATCCATGATACTCTGAAGAGAGGCTGAAGAACATGCACCTTCAATCCATAGCTTCCCTTGACATAAATATTCGCCAAAGTTGTAAGAGGTTTCTCGGCGCAGATATCGCAATTTGGATAGATTGTACGTGCGTCCTAGATCTTTTCCAACAAATGCATCAAGAAGCGCGACGTCTGGGATGAATGAATCTTCAGACAGGAGTCTCGTGTCCAAGATATAGATCCAGATATCGGACGGGTTGTCGAGCAATTCACCTCTGGGTAAGATGCTGCGATACAGGGCGTATTGAAGGGCGAAAAGTAATGAGCTCGTCCAAGACATGAGGTTGTCATCGTTCCTGGCCCACCCGCGAAGGTGGCAGTTGAGCATCTCGGCCGCTTCGCCGGGGGGCATCGAGAAAATGTCGCAGTCAGCTGCAGCATGACCACAGAGAGCAGCTCTTGACACGACATTTTCTAGTGATGTTTCACCTGAAGTACTTGGTGCATGGACTCTGAAAAGGTATCGCGGGATCTTCTTCAGGGCTAAAGCGGCATCACTATGCGATGGCCCTGGTGTGAAACGTACATAGCCATTGCTAGCGGACTTGGAGGTAAGAAAGTCATTCTTGTCGGCCATGCTGAAGGCGTTCTGGTCTGGCTTTTGTCTTGTGTTGAGGGGTTATTTGTGTTGTCGTTGGTGCAATAGGCTCTAGACAACGATGTTTTGAGTGAAAGATTTGCTATCAACTAACACCAGTTGAGTGCCGACTCTGGGTGATAAAGCACAAATGAAAGTGAACTTGTAAGAACAATCGTCAGAATTATCTGATGGTTTCAAAACAAAGTGTAGAGTAATGGGCACTCAATCGGTAGTGACAAGCCTTATTTATGATCTTGATGTTGACTCAAAGTCCTACGTTGCCTGGTTCTCCAAATTGACGGCCTCCTGCATGACATGCATGTACCTTACCTCGCACGAGGACGGATACCGCAGGCGTGATAGGCAGCCATGCCGGCAATTGTGGAGTAAACTGTTGAAGCTGATAATCGTAAGGTGAATGCCTCCTCTTCACTGCTTTGCATGTCTGCCTTCCAATAAAAACATATCTTCTTACTTCCACAGGATGTTAACGGGAGGCTTTGATGTTTTCAAAAGAAGATGCGGCTGGTGTCTAGACATTGCCAAGTTCCGTTCCCGACTCGCACAGACGGGAAAATGGAAGATGCTCGCTTCGTGTGGGGACTGATAAGATAAGGTTAAGGTATCGAAGCCGGGAGAGCGCCCGCCTCGGTGGTACCTTCGGAGATCCCTTTTCTCCGCATTCCGTTAGGCTTCCGTCTGTTCCCCAGCAAATCAGAGCGTCCCGCCTCGGCAGAGTGGAGACGGCATGCTGGCAGCGAACCTCTTCAGCGCCGAATCGGGTCACGGTACCCCCTGGCCGTGGCAGCCCATTGGGAGTGGAACGTGCGGCTTCAGTGAGGTCAGTGCCTGGCTTGCCTGGCCCACACCAGAGCTTCAACACCTTTCACTGCTATCTGTCCAGGGGAATCGCAACCACCACAACCAACTTACCTCTCATCACGAAACATTCTCGACCTTCCTCACCGATCGCCAACGCGAATCGCGTCTTTTACATGACCGCCGACGACAACCCTGCATATCAGCGACATTGAACGATACCCAGCGATCCCATTTCCAGCCTTCGTTCTACCCTTAGCCCGTCGATCCACCGGCACCTCCGTGCTCCCGAACTCCACGATCCTCAACCACCTACTCACCTTTACCCTGCAATCCTGGCTTCCCCGGCCGGGTTAGCTGGCCGAGGACGTCCAGCGCCAGTCGAATGAATGCAACCCCTAAATCCATTCCTCGCTGCCTTCTTCCGAAGCTCCCTACCCTCCCAGTGTACCCCGGTACATCACCACATCCTCCTGGTCCCGACCACCGATGTCCTCCTCACATGCCGCGAAGTCGAGAGCGGCTCGACCTTCCACGAGCTTATCACCTCGGAGGAGTTCCTAGCTAGCCATGTACTTCGCGTTCCCGCTGCAAATACGGCCTCGGCTGCGGGCGGGAAGGACGCGGCGCAAAACCTGCGCGAGCTGAGGGGCAAGGCGAAGCAGTATCAGACCATCAATGGTCGCACAGTCGTCATCAAAGATACACACGTCTACAGTAACAAAGGTGCGCCTGAACATGCAATACGCAACCGCCTATGACTGACAATTGTTTCCCAGGCTTCAAGTCGCTTGCGCAAGCTCAATTACTGAACGATTCGACATGGTATCCCGACCTCCTCGAGCCCCGCCAATGGCTGATTTACTACATCTCGCGACCGCTGGTGGGAGTATGGGAGGAGACCAAGATCGAGCCCGCCATATTGGTAGAGGGCATGGCGAGGAGGAAAGCTCTCGAACAGAGCCAGGCAGCGGCTGCCGAGAATGGCGAAGGCGCCATGCTTCCTCGAAAGAAGGATATCAAGAGCTTTCACGACCTCCTCAACCATTTCCCCATCATCGCACGACAGATGCAACCTGGATTGGAAAAGCTGTTTCGAGAGTTTACGACCGTGTTCGAGCGACCGCTTCCGCCACCCCCTTCGGCGTTACGCATACCCGACCCCGAGCCCGACGGACCTATCACTACGGCGATGAGGAAGGCGCGGTCCAACAGCATGTCCGCAGCCAGGCGCCCCAACGGTTTGACTAACGGCCTACCCGTGACGGAGAACTTTTACGCCGAAGACGACGAAGACGTGATGAGGGCTTCGTTGGAGACTGCGGTTACAGCCGCCATCGACTTGTTCCAGGGGGTTGACAAGCAGCAACTCTCGATGCTGGGCGCTACGACCGACCTGACGGGACCTCTGGTCGAAAGACTCATCGAAAGATACGTCACCGAGAACACACATCACCTCCTATTCCCACGACTTAGCGCATCGAAACGACCTTATGATCTGGAGTTGGAGGCCAAGATTCGGCAGATGGAGTTCATTGACCTATCTCAGCTTGGCATCTCCATAGAAGGTGGCTCGCGAGGGAAGCACGAACTGACGATACAGCTTGGCCTGGCCGTGGAGGAGTTCAAGAAGACAGCCAATGCCATGAGCCCACAAGAGATGCTCGATCTGCTCCTGTCGACCATGAAGCTGGTCACACATTTGACGGAGTCTTCACGAGCGCAGGCAGCCTCTTCGACCGAGAAGCCGACTCTAACAGTCAATGCCGACACGCTGGTTTCGTTGTTGCTCTTCGTGGTCATCCGAGCGCAAGTTCGACACTTGCACGCTCGACTCATCTACATCCGTCACTTCATCTTCATCGACGACGTCGACAACGGCGAGATGGGATATGCACTGAGCACCTTCGAAGCTGTCCTCGCATACCTCGCGCTGGACTCGTCAGGATTACGAAGAGCTAGCCGACGAAACAAAGCGCTATGGAATGCCACTTGCAACGGAAGCCTCGACGACTTGAAGAAGATCATGGAGCCCGACGAGAATGCCATTCTCGACGAAGACCTTTACGATTCGCCAGAATCAAGTCGACGTCCTTCTCACAGCTGGAGCTTCACCAACGGGTCTGCCTCGCGGAGATCATCAACAGCAGTCACCATCTCGGATCGCTTCTCATCAGGCTCTGGCCTGAGCCATGTGTTCCCATTCCAGGCCGAGGATGACAGCAGCGAGATTGACTTCCCTCTGCCACCGCCACCTCGAAAGGTCAAGAGGGTCGCTATGGATACACGAAGTATGTCCAGCGGCTCGGAGATTTCATACCACTCGAGGGCGACCAGCAACGGCACTATTGGAAGCGTCCTTGAGGGCGACGTCACAATTGACCGGCTTTCGCAGACCCACAATGCTTTCGGGGAATCAATATTGATGATGGCTGTGCAGAACGAAAGGCCCGATGTCCTGCGGTACTTATTGACGTTGAGCGAGTACTATCCTCTTTCTGTCGTTCTGGATGACATCAACAACGAAGATACGACGCTTTTTAGCGCTGCGGTTCAGCTGGGGCATACGGAGCTGATTAACATTATTCTCGATTTCATTTCGAGGCTGGCGGCAAGAGAGCGCTTGATTGAGTATTTTGCTCAGCAAGACATTTGGGGGCGCAGTTGTGCGCATTACCTGTTCCACGCACCGTTTTTAATTTCTCGGATCGGGAGATTAGTTCCCTGGCGGCAAAAGGACAAGAATGGGCAGACGCCGCTTTTGC